TTGTACATGCTCTTTTCGAATGTGTAATAGCTTGTCTTTTGCAGAACATAGGACAATGCCAACAGCCGTGCCGATGGGGCCTTTGGATGTTTGTAAGGCGTTTTATAGGTTCGATCCTGCCTGATGTCAGTATTCACGGCCTGTAGATTTCGTGAAACCCATAGCAGGTGATATTTCTCTTGAGATATTGTCCTGAAAGATGTTTCTACTAAAAAGGATTACTCAAGTAAGATTATAATACAGATAATCGTCAATTGGATTTTGAAATATAGTAGGAATGGCGGATCTCACCTTTAGAAAGTGTTTCTTTTGCCATATAATAAGGCTGTATCTTTGTCGGTAATAGCATTCTGCCAATGCAAATTTTACCACCAATTTGCGATGATCTCATGTAGTAAAATTGTCTAAAAAGAAAATTTGTATAAAAGGTAACACTTCTTGTACTCATTTGATAGTAAATTATGTATCGTTCAAGTTTCATTCTAGAGAAAATGATCCCTTTCTATTTCGAAAAAGTGTTCCAATGCTCGAATAATTTTGAACCTGAGCCGCTGTTGTATTCGCGCATAGATATTTCGAACTACATATCACGTGCTTTCAAGGCAAATGAAATTACATATTTATCTGTGCTATTGAGGAAATAGTACATAGAGTTTACAAAATTGTTAAACATATGTGGACATGTGGTATAAGCCATAGGCAGCATTGATCAACAGACAGACATGACGCCATCCGAATGGATATCTTATAGTCACAACAGTCTCATAAATGCAAGTTCTTTACAACAGGAGACAGCTCTTCCGTGAGCACGACACTTAAATCCAACGCATTGATCTGGCGAAGGAAAACATGAAATAACATTTGTGTACATATTTTGTGAAGTATATTTGAATATACTCTGCCGACCAATGACCCATTCATTTGGAGGGGGCTGGGTAGGGCCTGATCCCACCTCCGTTAAATCGGTACTGCCGACTACCCTAGAAAGAACAGGACGCGTCCATGCCTGAATTCATCCATTAATTTAAGTTAATTAACCTGAAATATGCAGTTCTCCTTTGATAAAAGTCCACTATAAGTCTATGTAAAAGGGCCACAATTTCCTCCACTGGCAGATTTGCCACCAAATGTGCGGTCATAATGCATATACGCATTACATGTCGTTTATTCCTCTCTGCAGGAAGTAAAAACGAGACTTTATTAGTATGGATATCATCGGAGCGCCATATACAATCACTTTAAACGTGACATGCGTACTTTCTATGCCGCAATTGAAGAACCGAATTTTACGATTCCGTCGAAATCTTCAGTGGTGGCCAACAAATCGCCAGGACGGCAAATGTCTGAACTGAGCTGAGAAGTATGTACGGGTAGGTTTTCCAATTATTTAAATGATTATGGACCCCTGGATCTGCGAAAATCTTGTAAAAATTGAACACAGTTAGAGGCAGATGCTTTTTGGTGGACTTGCAAGAATTCAACCTGAAGGCGAAAATGCCACTTTCGATGACCAAGATGCTGTTTGCAGCCCTACCAACCAGAGATACTTAGCAACTCACGGACGCTATTGCAAGAGCGTCAAACTTGCATTATCACGCCCCTAAACGATGGAAGCTCTGTCCGTTGAGGAATTAGACAAGATCTGCCCAATGAAATAAACCCACGGCGGCAACGGTATTTCCCGAAATGCGCTTTCAAATGCACTTTGACGGAATGAAGGTCTTCTAAGTGCCTAGGCGGTGTGTGTGGCCGATATGTGGTTGTATTAGCCACCCGGTTGTTAGGCAATCCTTCGTTTTCGGCACATTCTGCGGTTCTGGCAATGCTGAAGCATCGGACGACCACCTGGGTGACTGCGTAGAGAAACTCAAGGACTTCATGACTAATGACCCCGCAAGCAGGGGTGGTTAGGCGGGGCATCGAGACTTCATTGAAAACAATCATACTGCACGAGCAGTCATTTTTACCGAGTGCGATTTTACTTTGCGGCGGGAAAGAAACTCATTCAAAAGACCGCATTACGCCGTGACTGAACCATCTTGGAATTGTGCAGCGTGATAGTAACTAAAATAAATATGTAGGTAATATATAAGCCACCTTTTTAGTTAAAAAAGATTTTAGAATTCTGGCTAAAAGTTTACATGACACGACATCTTCACATTTTTCATACGCTGTTATAACAAAAATGCAGTAATCATACCACCACTTTCCATGACTGCTTCTGAATGTCAGAAACACTACTTCGGCAAGGTAAAACTGAATACGTTTGACTCATTTTCTACTAAAATAGTCATGAAACATGCGCCTTTTCGACCTGAGCATTGTTCATTTTCCATAGATGTGTGCTCGGTTCTCCAGCGTCGCCTTATCAAATACTTAAAAATGGCAGGTACATTTCAGACCATTCCGCCTTAAATTATCAAATAAATTGCTAAATGCGTGCGGCAGGCATATAGTGAATACTGTTGGTTGGGAGTAAACAGTAGAGGTTCAAAGAACGAAGTGCTGGTAAAGGAGAAAGGACCTGGGCGACCGTTTTTACGTTATTATTTGTGGTCGGGGAGTTATCCTTTAACCCCAGGCTTGCAGGACGTGGGGTTCGAACTTGGATTGTTTGGTCAAGGAGAGTTACTAAGTCAGACGCTCTGCAGGTTAACCAGGGGTCCGTTTTCTCTGTAAAAAATAGAGGAAGTATGCGTTACGCAGACGTTGTACAACGATTGTACAAATCTCGCATGCGTGGCGTGCCTCCTCTTGGGTTTGAGGCCTACTTTGTGCGATGCAAGCAATACGGCTTGAAATCAACCCTATTTTTGATGCTGCCACGTCGGGTATTTTGTTTTACCAATGATAGCTATCTTCTAGTCCAATGAAGCCTGCATGACTTTGCTTGGTATGTTCTGAGCACTGCACACTTTACAAATCCACATGTCACATCATCTACTCTCACAGCGCACACTTGCGACAGTTCGATGCAATTAATATCATTTTCAGCACATTTCTTTGGACTTGCACTATGCGTTTACGGCTGCATGAAATCTGCGGGTAATTTTTTTTCACATGTTTGAGATCTACGAACATTAAAGAACTCGTTGTAATTGCAACTTTTCACAACAGGTGAATATCTCCCATCCTAAATACAACAGTAGGCGTCACACGCATTTTTTGCATATATGTACATAAAATACGTTAGCCGCTCATTAAGAGTGCAACAGGCTATACACAGACAGCTGTTTCACGGTCGTTAGCGATAATCAGTACGTCATAGGCCTTATGAAGTGAGGTATATAAACATTTCTGGTAGGCGTGCGACCCTCATCGTTGTGGTTAGGATCTCACTCGATCCCATACTGCCCGCCCGCCAGCTTGCTGCTGGCAACAACGAAGGTTGTGCCATAGAACACATACCGCATACAACCTGGAAGCAGCTCACTTAAAGTGCGACAAGCCAGATGCAAAAAATCGTTTTACGCTCGTTATTGTGATATATATATGTTTTCGAAGAAGTAAATCGCCGACAAATTAATTGACGACTCAAATGACCATTTCTAGCCAGTTTGTCTCAACATACGTTTAGGGACATCTATATTTCGGACACGATTTCAGTGGTTATTGGGCGTTAAGTTCCTACTTCTACCGGATATGCTTTCCTTACTAACAAGTAGAATGTTTTACCTTGTGAGTACGACCGTTTTGAGGTAAATTAAAAGTGCAGATGCTCGTCTACTACGGTGGAAATTAGGACGAATAATTTGGGGTCGTTATTGGTTTAAAATAAGTTTGCTAGTTATGTAAATGGGTCTGAATACAAACAACATTATAGGGAACATCTATGTTTGAATAATTTGGCAATTTGATTTCAATCGTCTGTAGGCAAAGTTCGACCTACATTTAAGAACAGACTGTTTGAAAGTAGGAATATAGTCTCAGATGTGCAATGATACGCGACAGAAATAAAAACTAATACGTCCATCCAAATAATTCGAAATAAGTGTGCTCATTTTGCCTGAATGACATGAACTGTCATCATAGATATGGAACTGATAGGTCATTTTGAACTCTTTATGAAATCGGCATGTTTTGCACACACACACATACAAACACGACAGTTCGACCGTCGCATACGACGATGTCCACCGTATGCTCCACAGCAGGGTGGGGCAAGGACGGTGACTTGCGTCGGGTTTGTGGTGCCGGTAGACTTACACTGCATCTACCACGTTCTCTCCCCCTCTCCCGCCTGAACCCGGTGTAAAGACAGAGTCAAGAAGACCGGAGACAGGGAAGGGCGCAGGCGGAAGGCATGGTCGAGCCCGCATCATACCATTCCACTCCACACTTCCTGGTCCACACAACAAAGAACCAGGTTTTTGACCAACGACATCAGAGAATGGAGGCTGACACGGCCGGAGAAACCGCACCTAGGCGTACCGCCAACGCCCGCCTTGGATCCCACACAGTTCGAGTGCCATAAAGGCTGCATTGAGAAGGAAACATTACAGCCTGACTCTCAGACCACCAGCCGGCCATTCCACAACTACAGCACACACAACACTGGGCCGACTGCAAGGTCAAAGTTATCCCGTCAGTTGGCAACCTTCCAAGCCACGGCTTTTAGCGCACCGTGATAGTTTCAAGCGCGTCAGTTTGTTTATAGTGAGGAAAATAAGCTGAATCGTCGACCTCACTCTCCCATCCCATTCCCGTACCTCAGCCACCGTCCAAGCTGGTCAGCTAACTGCAGTGGGGAATAGGCGCGGTGGCTGGCATATTCTATCGACCAGGTCTGCGCGCGCCACAAGCACGACCTGGCCCCCAATACACACAAACATCAGCATTTTACACAACAGGGGTTGAGCGGCGTATCTCTCACATGCATGACAGTGCCGTAGAAGGAGCTGTATCGACCCGGCCCCAGCCCACCAGCCCGCCACTCCACACAAACACACACAACTGGGCGGACTGCGTGGACTGAGTTGGAGCGTCAATAAGCAGCCTTCTTATCCACCACGCTTGACGTGTCGGGATAGTCTCAGGCTCGAGTCTCTCATGCAACAGGAGCCACATGGAGACCAAGTCGAGACGCACACTTCCCAATTGCCTAGGAGGTGGCAGTTGGGTGCTTGCGGTGGGTGATGGTGATGAGCGTTGAGATGGCGGTGATGGAGGATGTGATGGTTTGGTGCAGCCGGCGGTTGTCTACCGCAGGTTTTCGTGGATGCGCATGTGGCTGAATAGATCCATGCGGTGCGTGAATGTGCGGGGACAGTGAGGGCAATGGAAGCGGATGCGGTGGGTGTTGGTGGGTGCTTCAGGCACTGGTTCGCCAGTATCTGTGCGATGGATTCGCAAGTGACCAACCAGGCCGATGTGTGAGGTGAAGGTGCGGTCGCCGTTAGGGCATGTGTAATCCTGGTCTTCAGCTCTCGTGTCGACGGTGGTGGCGTTGATGTTAAGGAGGTGTCAGGATTGTGTGCAGTGTTGATGTGCGTGGCAGGCGCCACAACGACAGGCGTTGGAGCAACGGAGGATAAGGAGGAGCAGGAGATGGAGGAAGAAGAAGGGGAGGAGGAAGAGGGGGAGGAGCAGGAGGAGGAGGAGGATAAAAGTGGCGGTCTAGGAGAGCGGTTAGTTGTAATTGGCGGCGGGAAAGACGAGGAAATGTTGGGCGGAAGGACGACGGTTGGTGCGGTCCGAGTGGTGTGGTTGATCTGGAGGTGTCCAACAAGCCCAATTCGTGCCCGGAATGTACGTTGACACATTGGAGGCAGTTGCGCGTTGGCATTGCGAGGTGTGCGCAGCTGGGACTTGCGTGCTTCACGTTTGGCTTTGGCAGCCGTGATGCGGCTGGCTTCGTAGATCGCAGCACCTGTCTTCACTGACCTTCTCCAGGTCGGTCGGTCGATTGCGGGCGAGGTCTTCCCAGTTGCTTGGGTTAATTTTCAGACATTTCAGGGAGGACTTCAGAGTATCATTGTAGCGGCAGATTTAGCCTTCCTGGCGGCGGGAACCCTTGGCGACGTCTCCGTAGAAGAGTCGTTTGGGTAGCCGCTCATCATCCATCCGCACGAGATGGCCGCTCCAGCGCAGCCGCAGTTGTCTCAGCATGGTTTTGCTGCTGAAGATTCCAGTTCCCTCTAGTACATCCGTTTCGGGGATTCGATCCCGCCATCTCAGCCTGAGGATGCGACGAAGACAACTGAGATGGACGTGGTTGAGTCGGCATGCCTGTTTCGTGTACACCGTCCAAGTCTCTGCTCCGTGCAACAGCGTCGTGAGGGTGACGGCCGTGTAAATCTTTAGCTTCTTGCTGAGCTGGAGACCATGACGATTCCAAACTATGCTTTGAAGGCGGCCGAAGGCTTTACTGACCTTCGAGATACTGTGGGCAATTTCATCATTGATTTTCGTGCTGCGGTAGAGGGTACTGCCCAGGTACGGTAAGTTCTCCACCACTTGCAGTTGGGTTCTGTTCATGCTAATTTGTTGTACATTGTGGGGAGGGGCTTTTTGGGTGGCCGTTGAGGCATGACCACCGTCTTCTCCGTGTTGATGACGAGACCGAAGTTCTCGCAGGCGGCGGAGAAGAGGTCCATGCGACTTTGCATGTCCTCTTCCGAGGTGGTGTTGAGGCCGCAGTCATCGGCGAAGAGAAGTTCAAGAACTGTGGTTGTGGATACGCGCGATTTGAAGTGCATCTGCCGTTGATTGAGGAGGTGGCCGTCCGTCCTGTAGGCGATGCGGATCCCCGGACGTTCATCACGGTAGACATCCACCAACATGGCAGAGAACATAAGACTGAAGAGTATGGGCGTCAGGACGCAGCCCTGCTTCACTCCGTTGGTCACTGTAAATGCCACTGAGACAGCCCCGTTGTCCGTGACTCTCGCCATCATGTCCTCGTGGAGCTGACACACCATCTGAATGAATCCCTCGAGACAGCCAAATTTCTGCATGATCTTCCACAGTCTTTCATGATTCACCGTATCGAAGGCTTTCGTCAGATCCACTAAGGTAGAGTACAGATGGGTCCGCATCTCTTGGCACTTCTCCTGAAGTTGACGGGCGGCGAAGATCATGTCCGTGGTCACGCGATGACAACGGAAGCCGCACTTGCTTTCCGGCAGAAGATCCTGTTCTAGGTGATTATTCAGGCGATTGAGGAGGATACGATCGGTGATTTTGTCCCGGCTATGTTCAGCAAAGAGATGCCTCGGGGGTTTTCGCAGAGCTGGCGGTTTCCTTCCAGCTTGTATAGGTGCACGATGGTTGCGTCTTTAAAATCTGGCGAGACTTTACCTTGACGCCACACCTCCTGGAAAAGCGCAGTCACACACACGCATACGTGTGCGGGACATAAAATTAAACTAGGAAGCTGGGCTATCTACGGATGACTCAAACTTAGAAATATGTGGACCATTCAAAACAATGCAAATAATATCAAGCTTTCTCACTTATGATGCTTAAGAAACATTGGAAAACTAGCCCATACTTGACTAACCACAGCGTTTGTTAAAGCTTACGTGAAGAGTTATTTTCGGCTTTTCTAATAATTACTAACAATCAATTCCATGTAATGCCAAGAAATGGCAAGCATTCTGCGAGAACTCACTTGATTTCCGAAGTCTTTATTAGAAGCCGAATTTCTAGGGTTTTTGACCGCACTGCAAAAGCAATAGGCAATACCGTACGCTGTCCCGGACACAGTCACTCACTAAACATAGAATATACTTATATGACCTCTTGAATTCATAAAATACCTGTGTTTTATGCCAAATGGCGTAAGGTTCCTAAGTTACGAGCTTGTGAGTCAACAGAAGATGTTCTGAAGGCCGTCACTGTGGGTCGCTTGCATTACGAATACACCTGAAACCATTGTTCTCGGCAGATATTCGGGTCCTGGTTTTCATTACTTTATTTCTCCGCCGTTTGGCACTGTGGTCACTCACCTGTGATTTATTAAGTTAAAGTTTCATTACTTGCAGCGTGTCATGTATTTAGTTGCAAAATCATAGTCTACTCGCTTGTAGAGGAATTGGACTGCAAAAATGACGGCACAGACATGCAGCACCTACTACGCCATATTTCGTCACTCCGTTTGGATATTTATCATAAAGGTGATACATTCACACGGTTCACAATAGATCCTTCCAAAGATCCTCTCATGGGCGATTGTAAACCTGAGGACACCCATCCTATGCTGAATACAAACATTACCTGTACTATTCAATTTGAAGCTGTTGCATGTAATTTGGAGCTTTGGGTATGTTTATTGATAAATCTTGTATGAGTGTTCAGGTGTAAGTGTTCCTGACTCATTATTATAAACGCAAATTTCGAATGAGTGGACTCAGATCTGATCGTTAAAATGTTATGCATAAAAAAGTAATGGATTCGTCAGAATCTTATATGTCCTTTTAGGCCTCCCTGTTGCTATGTTTCAGCTTAATATAAATTTTGGAGACTTTTGATGGAAAAGCATACACTCAAACACGATTTGTTTTGCGTGATTCTTTTCCCCGCATTTTGCAAAGTTTTCCAATTTTAATCCTTAGTAATATTGTGTTACTGAAGCCTTTGTTCTGCCCCAATAGGGAACGATCGGAGCAACCAATCAGTCAGTCATTACGCAACACCTGCATCTCGAATTAGAGCACGTGAATGCCGTGGCTACTTTTGAGCGTCGTGTAGAACGAGGTTGCATCTGGAATGTCTCTCGGCTGCGTCTTCTCAGCCTATTCTTCCACCATCTAGAAGCAGTCGTTCAAATCGCACTTGCGAAAAGGACAGAGATCTCCCGGACTTCTTGGGTCAATGCGTCGATAGCGAAACTGCCAATGTATACAAAGGAATTATTTGAAATCAGCCAATTACCCGGTTGTGCTTCCCAATCGCTGAGAGGCCGTGCTTCACGAAGAAACTATTTGTCTTGTTTGAAAACACGAAACTAAGTTTGGAAGTACTGTGCTAAATACATGATATGAGAGATGGGTGTGTATGAGCAGAATGTTATGGTCGCTGGGTTTCTATGACTTTCAGGGGGAAATCTGAAATATAAGGAAAGCAGGAGTCGTCTACTTAGTCGGGTTAGGGTTTTTTGAACGCTTGATAAAACGAACTGTTATATGTCATAACTTCACAAAATGAGCTGTTAAATGACATAACTAGGATGCATGAGATGCCCTATTTGTGGACGTGACGTTTGTCGTCAGCGTCGCGTAAGTAACTTCTTGCCACCCAATAAAAATCATCTACTGCGCAATTACTACTTAAACGAGTGAACTATGACCTGATTAATTACTTGGGAGAGCAATGAATTTCGTTTTACTGCCTGGTTGAAGTGAGATCTCCAGATCGTTTGCAGATATAAGAAAAATGTGTCGAACAGTTGGCCTTCCAGACGTCTTAGAGTCGAAGATAATCTGGTGGTTGTGCTGGGAAGAGTCGGTTATATGCCAACATTAGTACATTGGTGTCAGAAAAGTGTTCTCCCTCCGACATTACCGAGTCTAACTGATGTCTCTCCAAACAGTTTACTTAGAATAATCACGATGGGCTAGCATGTCCCAACCGTATTAAGAAGAAAACTCTTCACTGCTGTCTATATATAAGCAGTTTGTTACTACCGACAAAGACAAGGGAGACTGGAATGGCAATTTTTGGCTTATTCGCCGCCGTAAGCCCATCATACGCCACCCCGAAGTGTGGTGCACCCGAGGCTCCTGAGCGCCTCCTGCCACCATACATATATATATTTGCCTTGATTAATTTCCGAGGCAATTAATGCCCGAACTTGGAGTAAATCCTTCAGAACAGACCTTCTTAGGCATTGTCCGAAATTTAGTATGAATATTCGAGCTGAAATTCATCAGCTACTGCGGCATAAGATCGACGAAACACGCGTGTCTGGACTTTTAGCTAATACCTATGTTGTTAGTACGGTAAGTAATTACACAACTGTATAAATACATACATACATACATTGTACATATGAACTCAAGAATAAGGCACACTGATTTATTGGCCTCCAAAAGCAAGCAAGTGTCCTATGGGTGACAGGGGTCAGGAACAGGCAATAATCTCTGGCGGTCGACCTGGTGGAGGACAGTGAAGACAGGCGATGCGATCTATGAAGCCAACCGCATCGCCGCTGCCAAAGTCAAACGCGGAGCACGCAGATCACAGCTACGCGCAAACAGCAACGCCGACGCACAACCACTCCCAACCTGTCCTCGATGCCAACGAACATTCCGGGCACGAAGTGGACTTATTGGACACCTTCGGACTAACTGCACCTCTGGGACCGCACCAACCGTCGTCCCTCCGCCCGCCTCTTCCTCGTACGCTCCGTCGCCAACTAACTCTGACTACTCTTCTGAACCCCTAGTTCAATCCTCTTCCTCCACCTCCTCCTCCTCTTCCTCCTCCTCCTCCTCCTCCTCCTCCTCCTGCACTGCCCCAACGAAGGCCGCTCTGGCGGCCGTCACGCACAACAGCATCACACAAAAATTCGACGTCGCCTGATGCAACCTAAGGATCTATTGTCACTGGCTGTGGGAGAAACCGAGCGGAAATTGCAGCCTCGTCTACAAGAGCACAAATGGGCCACTTGAAAGTGAGGCCCTAACTCTTAACTAGCAACACACATTAAAAAACTGGGCATACTTTCGATCTCCAAAGAGCTACCTTCGTAGGCCTGGACAACACAAAAGCAGAACGGTTAACTTTCGAGGCTCAGTACTCCGATGTCCACTCTATCAACCGGCATCTGGACTTTCCTTCAACTTACAAAATCCTACGTCATCACAATTATAGCGCTCAGGACCAAACAAACACACTGGAATTAAAAAGGCCATACGGAGACAGCTCGACGGTGAGTTTACTCCATGAGAAAGACAAAGAACCGCCAGACCGACAACCCGAAAAATGTTCAATCATCTTCCTCCCGCCCTGGCGGAGAGGTGAATCACGGGACACGCAGGCAAAACGTCCGTCAACTATTCCCCGAGAGGCCGAGGCAGCGAGAGGAGAGATAAAGCGATCAGAATGAGGCAACCAACGTGAGTTGAAAGTTTTGATTTCTGATCGATTACGGGCATTTTACGCTTTGACAATGGACAGCCGACCAGCCCTTTTCGAAACGTCAGCATCTAAATAAAGCCGTCCAGGCGAGCCCACATTTTTTCTTCAAATCGCCAAGCCGGATATCTCAAGTTTTCTAATCTGAAAACCCTAATGTAATTATTACTTTATTAATAAACGGATGCCAGGACGAGCAAAAAATAAAAAAGGAAATGGTGTTCGTTTTATTGAAGAACATTCAAAAAATCGGAGGAAGGCAGTCTTCAAAGAAGTAATTTAATTCAAGTCTGCACTTCAGGTTGACGTGCTCTGATTCTTGTTTAAACAAAAAGGTATTAGGAACAGCTCAACGTATATGACCTTTTTGTCGGAATGCAAATCTTTTGGAGAATCGGCATTTTATGTAGAAATCACTTACGATTGTTAACGTCATCCGATAATAACTTCTTTCAAGCCACACGTTCTTTATAATTTAAAGACAATAAGTATGTTTGACATGTATATTCACCCTTATAGAACACTTTTGCTTTACTAGGCGATTTGAGTATTTGTGTCTTGCAGAGAAGATTCACAATCTATGGGCCATTTTTCATAGTGTACGCACTAAAATGAAAAGGATTTTAACGTGTTTGCTTAGTACACAAACAGTTAACTAACGGTGGATTTTTTCGAGGACTATCCATGCGTAAAAAAGAATGCAGGCGCGAAACAAAAACCTTTGCAATAAATTCTGACTGCAGGTATTGAACCAGACAGCAGCGGGTCTCATTAACAACTTGCTCTTTTAATTCCTCGATATAATTTTAAATGCATACTTCTTAGTGCTTGTTTTGAATATAAGGAATTAAGAAGATTAACAAAATCCGCATCTGTTGTCCAAACAGGAAACAAGGCAACTATCCAAACCAAATATCATCCGGCGGGAAATCAGCGCTCAAAAATAACATTAACTGTAGCAATCCTTATCCGTCATTGTTTCTGATGATCGGATCGAGCGTGGATCCGAAACGTCCGTCGAATAGTGCTCTTTTCCAGCTATTGCTTTTACCTCTCATTAATTAACCATACTGAAAGTTGGGCCTGTTGTGCACATCAGAGACGGCGGTACAACTTCCGCTCCCTTAGCTGGTAAACGTGTCCCGGATATTAGTGACCCGTGCCTCGCGGTCACAAAGCCAAAATATCGGTGACGCTAATCTGTCCCACGTCCCTTGCAGCAGATTAACGCAATGATCAGTAAGAAAAACTGATACCACCGTATAAATTATGTCTATAATATTGAGCAATGACTAGGAGGATGCCGTCTTCCATTTTACAAAGGATATTTAAGATTTACTTCAACCATTATGGATGGCGTGCTTCTTATCCCGCTAGGATGCCTGATTCAGGAACGAAGTCAGATATAAATAAAGAGGGAAAGAAGCTGCAATTAGCTGGAAATTGACTGGACCGCTACGGACAATGTTTACCAGAGCGGAATGCCTGCTTCTAGAAACTGCTCCAGACGTAAATAAAATGTAGGTCAAAAGCCACAGAGGGGACATCGTGCATAATCGACATTCAGTCTATCTGAGGTCAAGTCACAACCTTATTTGATAGACTTGCGTTGTTGAAAAGATAAAGTAACAAATCTGGGGTAAAATATGATGCCCTAGCTAAACTTTTGCATGAGCTGAAGCCCCTTCGGTAAATGTTACTCAGTAGAGGTCAACTTCAGTCAAGTGAACAATCGAGCGACTATACCATCGTGTGATCCACAGCAGGGTGAAGGTAGGAACGGTGAGTGACGTGTGATAGTGATAGTAAACCTGTGCGGCATCTACAGCACTCTCTCCTTCTCCTCCTTCTCCATCTGGATCCGCTTTCAAAAGAGGGACAATAAGACCGGAGACGGGAGAGGGCGCAGGCGCCTGGCGTGATGTAGACCCCCACCAACGCGTGCAACCACCACCACCACCTCTACACCCCCTGATCTCCAACGTGCACTGTCCAGAAATTCATGCATCAAATGTATGCACCTCGGATCAAGCTCCTGAGTTGTTTCAGCGCATCTACCGCGTGACCCATTTAAGGGGAAACGTGCGAACAACGAGTTACGTTGATAAGATCGCCTCATTTTTACGACCACATTAAACTGAAAAACATGCATACATCATCAGTTTTTGATTTCCGCATAAAACCCGTGCCACGCCACAACAATGACTGTCACTACTAATAACCCACTAACCACATACACCTACCTTCGTAGCTGAAAGATTTTAATATGTTTTGTTTTTATGTTATGTTGTGTGTTATGTGTTATGTATGTGTGCAGTCTTCTTAATACATATTTACTCTGGATATGAGAAGGATATATACGCCATATTTACACCTGAATATGATGCTTTCATCCCAGAAAAACTAAGCGGCATCCGGCACTCTTCTGTGCTTTTGATCGATTGAAGAATTCAATAAACGTGGTTTGCGTTCACTACATATAATTCCATGTCATAATAATAAACAACGCTACACTTAGCAGTAGGGATTGCCTTCTCGTAGTCATTACCTACTGAATCAGTGTGGGTGAGGATAAGTCCCATTTTAACAAATCGACAGAGTGAGAAGTAAGAAATGTGGAGAACTATTCGTGATTTGGTTGGAGGAAGGTTAATCGCAGTTTGCTCTCTCCCACTAGGCCTGTGATCGTACCACTCGTTTGTATTTGTACTGTGACGACTATTGGCCCATCGGAGATTCCTACGCGAGTACAGACCCGTTATGCTAAGTTCGAATGTCCATGCAAGCTCGTATCCATCTGGTATTGAATAGCGATGAGACCGGAGCGACTAATTGTAATTGTTTCAGCATTCTCAAGTCCCACTGACACTAGTTTCTGCTACACTTTATTCAAACGCTCACCCCACAGTTCGCTACATAAAGCCTCCCGCCCTTGCTTTGTGGATGTGGAAGCATGTGAACGTGAAAAGACATCTTAAATATGCATCTAAAACGTCTTATGCCATGATTGGTCTCCATGCTTTTTCCAAATGCACTATTGCTTCTCCATAGAACGTTAATCAAACGAAGGGGCCTTCGATCTACGATTTATTGCACAGTTGTTATTAATTTATTAAATATCTTCTTGCAGCCTAATTTGTCAGCATACCCGTTGTTCCTGCAGTGTATGCTTGATTTACTCAGTTCAACACATAATGCCGGCTGGGCAAAGAACCAAGTACGCGTCGGTAAGGGAATTTGCCGTGTATGCGACCAGACCTTCATCTACCTAGAGTCTATTTAACATGATCGGTTGTAGTGCCTACATACCAAAACGCCAGAAATGGAAAATCACCCGTGATTTTCGAGTGTGGTAGTGAGTGACACGCAGAACAAATGAACTACTTAGGTTTAAATCATTGGTCACTATAAATATATACACTCTCCAGCGCTTTGGCACAAAATCGCTTTTTATGCAAAATCGGCGGAATCCGACTCTGTGGTATGACGATTGCAGCACTAGCGAAAACACACAAGGCATCCCGTTTTCCGATAAGTTACTGAACCCTTTCCCACTAATAGTGCTCTAGCACATTTTTTAGGATCGCATTATTTTCTACTGTATATTGCGCAGTGTTGCATTTAGAGCAGCTATACATATTACAAGGAGCCCATTGTATAGATACGGTTTTCGTAAATTTTCACGTTATTTAATTCTGATGGGGTTTTGCCCTCAGACTACAATTGTCTTTTCCCTATTACAGATGCTACTGTGCCAAAGTGCTGGGGCGTGCGTATATTCTTATGAAAAAAATCCGTTCCCCTTACGGTGAGTAGACCATATTAGCAAACGGACACCAAATAAGTCATTTGGCCCACTTGTTTAAAACTCAACAGCCTCAGTGAGAATCATATTCGTGACAGAACGGCCAAGGCCTGAGTACAGCCAACGCTTTAACCACCCAATCTACGAGGCGTCACCCGGAGCCATAAATTTAGTTTCAGTTGTGGCCAAGTTAACCGCCCAACCTATAGTAGCGTATGGAACCCCACAATTCTGGTAGAGTAAGCCAAAAGCCTAAGCGGATTTTTCTACACCATCAATCTAGAATCCATCATTCGACCACCAGGCTCCATTAATCCGTTGGTATTTTGGCAGAATTTAAATAATTTATTTTGCCCAACTATGGCAAAACTTAGAGACCACGGTGGAATTTGATCCGACGACAGCAAAGGAAAGACTTGAATACAACCAACGCCCAAAACCTATGGGCAACGAAGCCTCACCAGGAAAAGCGAATTTTTAACTAAATTCACTATAAGAGATGAAACCATCATATCAACAGCGACAGTTATTAAAGAGGCCACATCAACGAAGCAAAATTATCGCTTCTAAAACTGTTTTACACGCGTACGTAAACTATAGCTTGAACTCTGCACAGACAGGCTTTTGTACAGTTGAAGAA